GGCCTCACCAGTGCAGTTGTACATGGTGTTCAACAGGCCTCACCAGTGCAGTTGTACATGGTGTTCAACAGGCCTCACCAGTGCAGTTGTACATGGTGTTCAACAGGCCTCACCAGTGCAGTTGTACATGGTGTTCAACAGGCCTCACCAGTGCAGTTGTACATGGTGTTCAACAGGCCTCACCAGTGCAGTTGTACATGGTGTTCAACAGGCCTCACCAGTGCAGTTGTACATGGTGTTCAACAGGCCTCACCAGTGCAGTTGTACATGGTGTTCACGAGCTTGTAGTTCCAGTGGGAGATGTTAGTACTACACCAGCCCATGAGGGTCTGGAACCGAGCGTCCAGGGCGAGCATAGTGTGTTCATCATCGTGTTCGCTCCCAGCCTTCCGAGTCAAAGCAACAAGAATTAAAACACGGCATAATCGCAGTAATGGAGGACCGTACAAATGGAATATACCCTGAAATGTTCACGAGAGCTACTAAAAAGGATTATCAAAATTGTATCAGGATTGCATTCCATTCATTGATTAAAAAGGTAAAATTGTTATTCATATACACTGTTTGTAACCGGCATCAGGCAATAGTTTGGTGGCTGTGAACTATCCAACCGGTTGCCAGCTTACGTACTCTCACAGAAATAAATGTGTCATATTGTCTAACTAGTGACACTCTCTGCCCGTAGCAGTGATACGTGTTTTTGCAAGAAGCCGGGGCAGGATCACCCGCATAAGGAAAAGAAGATCATCGCTATTCGAACAAATTTCTCCTCATTTAATTGAGTGCATGCTGATCAGTCGTTTTAGGTCCTGCAATCAGTCAGTATGGACGTCACTAACATCTGATATCACAAGATCGGACATGCAATTATCCTAGTATGTCTCATAACTCACCTTGTCCTTATAGTGCATGATGGAACAGTAGTCGTAAGGGATGTCGAAGTTAATGGTGTTCATAAGTGCGAATTGGCTGTCTAAGCCAGGCTTGTATTTCACGCCTGAGATGACGATGATATGTTTGTCCCTGTAATGTAATTCATACGAAGAGTGAACATTACATTGACTTCTTTCATAATGTTGTCAATGCGAAACACCTATGTTATTTGGAGTTCGAATGATTTTATTCTGAAATTTATCATGAGTAATTCCATTTAAGTCACAATCCTGGATTAACTGGAAAATTGGATCCAAAAGCAATTTTTGGGTCGAAATGAGCAAGGAATATCTCTACTCCTAACAATGATTATAATATTCAGAGCTCATACATATGGGCGTTGAGCGCAGCCGATCTGCCTCTGAAAGTCAATATTGCGTGGCAGGAATGCGATACTAGATCTCCACTACGATACCTTCTCAGACATGCAGACACATTCGATGGTATATCTTAAAGGTATGTTATTTAGGATATTAATTGTATAATATTAAGTGTTAGTTCCACATATAACGGATCAGCTCATAAGATAAAGAAGTCATCGAAACGAATGCATGCTGAGTTCGTAAGACTGCATCATATAATCTATTAGACGTCACGAACCTGTCACTGCGATTCATTTCATGTCGCAACCCCATGGAGTGGCCAAGTTCGTGTTCAAATGCCTTGAACTGAAAATAAGATATTATAAATTCTCTGTCATTAATTAGAAACAAAAATGAAAAGCCTTGTGTTGCGTAAAAGAAAATGTTTACCTGGCGCTGAATAATATTTGCCTAGAACAAGAATTCGTGATACCATTAATTCCATCATTTAGCTTCACCTGACATTTATTGATGTTTTTATCCAGAACCCGCGCATGACATTAACGCAGCAATAGACCTGACAGTTCTCAGGAGTCTCGATCATAGAACATCGCAATACACATGTTACGTTATATCAATCCAATATGATTGCGAATAATTCAAGCTCAAATAACCTGCTTGTAGTTTTTAGTGCAAATATAAATACTGCATAGATTTACTTACAATCTACTATAAGTGTAAAGTAAAATTATTGCCTGCAATCAAACTTATTTCATTACGTGCTGTTTATATTCTTTATGGAAAAAATTCACCATTTGAGAACCCTTGGTATCAGTTACGTTTCAACACATTCTCAAAACATACATTCCCAGCATCGACACTGCGTCGCACATTATTAGGCACTTCACATTTTTCATCATCAAAAGTTTATTTCACTGCTGATTTTCTGTACACTGTATACTGATAACCCTTACAGAGTTAACATTTGACGGCAATTTTTGAACTTCGTCGAATAAAAGATTATTTAATTGTAAAAAACTATAGTTTAGTCTGAGTGACTTAAATTAAATTTGACATCAATGGGTTATATACAAAACGGTTAACATTTCAACCCTTTTAAAGGAAGTGAACATTTTTTCACTGCCTGAAGTTTTATTGTTAGTGTAGGAATCTAAAACCTCTGAAGAATTAGTAAGAAGATGAATTATGAAATTTGAATGTGGTTTTCAAAGTGGTACTTCTAAATTTAATTCTACGACATGAGAAAAAACTGGAGTTTTCTTCGAATTGTAAACTACACGTTGAATGAAGGTTCCAAGCTTAGTGTTGGAAGTAAGATGCTTTAATGTTAGACATACTTTAAATAACGTTTATTAGTTTCAAAATTATCTAATGTATACGGTACCACAGGAACCTAAGTGACGGGATTCCGAGTGATTGAATTCAGGATTTCTAAAACTAAGGATTTTCAAACTTAAGAGATCAGGGGCCAAGGTAATTTACAAGTATATGATAAAGTGAAGGATATTTTTCAAGTTGCAAAATTTTGACAATGATGTCCCTAATTTCATACAATTTACCACGAATATTTGAAAACGTGACCAAACCAAGTTATATAAAAATAAGGGACAATTTAACCAATGCACCTCAACAGATGCGCAATGCGCAACTGTTTAAAAATATTATTCGCCAATCTAAATATGGCGTGATAGATTTCAGCTTCCGATGAGTCGCGCACACTTCAGTACAAAACAGTTATTTTTCGTAGCAATAAATATTTGTCACAAGTTATACAATGCATGAGATTTCTTACGTAAAATTCTTTCATGTATATTGTTGAATGAAGTTAACTTCGTGTATTCTGCTGAATATTGGAAGTTGATCCCCATACTTCAATGAACATCTCATAAATCAGTGCAAACTTGCAAGGGAAGGATAAACTGTTAACTGATGGGGGAATACACTGTTGCCTGATGGGAGGCTACACTGTTACCTGATGGGAGGCTACACTGTTACCTGATGGGAGGCTACACTGTTACCTGATGGGAGGCTACACTGTTATCTGATGGGAGGCTACACTGTTACCTGATGGAGGCCACACTGTTACCTGATGGGAGGCTACACTGTACCTGATGGGAGGCTACACTGTTACCTGATGGAGGCTACACTGTACCTGATGGGAGGCTACACTGTCCTGATGTGAGGCTACACTGTTACCTGATGGGAGAATACAAGGATTCCTGATGTGAGGCTACACTGTTACCTGATGGGAGAATACAAGGATTCCTGATGGGAGGATTCACTGTTACCCCATGAAAGATACACTGTTCGCTACTGTACTTACGGTACATGAGCTAGGTAGACTGACAGGAGTAGTTATGCCCTTCCTGTAGCCAAGGTAGGAGTAACAGTATCCCTTGATCATAAAGTCAAGGTACTCGAGGCGCTTGTCAGACTCGGCCATCTTAGAGAACTTGACACACGTCTTGGACTCCCATGCACTGAACGCCTGCTCCATCAGAGCCGTGTTTACTTCCGCTGTCGAAGTCAAGAAAAAGTTTTCAGGGTTATCCGTACAAACATGAAGGTACATATCACTGAAAGTGGAGCGAAATAACTGCGAAGCTCAATTAAGCTCAATTTTCTTTGAGCTGTACAGAAATTTGTTGAATATCACAATGAGGATCCATTTGCTACATGTTATTTGAATTTATAAAACGAATGACTTAATATTATGTATCCGGGATCCCTTCAGTGAAGTATTCGTAGCGATACGTTTTCCGATTAGACGGCGTAACTGCCGCAAGATTTGACTACTTAGTTTAAAATACTTTAATGTGAAAGGACTGAACTGTGCATTACTTGCTTAAATTGAGCCCCTAATGTACTCACATAAATCCGGTAATATTTCACAGATTTGTTCAAAAATGTCTGGGTGATATGAAACTGCGAATACGTTCATCATTTCCAGAAAAATAAAAAAAAACATGTCTAAATAGCTAAAAATGAGATAGCGATTCTCACTGCACCATAGGCAGTTGAGCACAAGGCAAATGCTAGATTTGTGTCAACTCACGATTCGATATCTTGTAGGGAATATTCACGACTCCGTTAGTTTTTGGCCAAAGTATCTTCAATGATTGCAGGTTTTTAGCGAGCAAACTTTCCCATTCCTCGGCAGAATATGCGATGTCTCCGACCAAGACAGACCCGTCCTCTCGGGGCGGCATGTCCTGGAAAACCGAACATAGGGTTTGCCGGTTTTAATCATTACAATATGCGCAGTGAGCGTAATTATAACGAGTGATCGGAGGGACATTGACCGAAATTTATTGAAAACTATAGAATGTGTTACATGACACAGCAGATGATGTATTGTTTTTTGATACATTTATGAACGTTTCAAACGATTTGTACTCCATTAAAAACTTTCAATGCATGTCTATTGAAGAATGTTGCTGTCACTACATTGTATTTGTTTCAATGGAAATTAAGGGAGTTAAACTCTTTTCAGAAACTGTCTGTTGTGAAGATATCGTCTGTCAAATATCATGGATTTTTTTAAAAGCATTCGATTAGTAAACCAAGGCTTCTATTCAACATTCACAAATTCAGGAAGTAAAATACAAATTTGAAGAAAAGTTGATTTGTAAACATTCGAAAACTTTTGATGACATTGTTGTCAATATTGTGGTTATATACGGCTAATAATTATAACCTTAAAAATAATTATAACATTAGTTTTGCTTCTTATCTAAAACTGTGATATTTCGTGCAATGTTCTTGTAATAACATCTATTTCACTACGCATTCAACTAGCTTAAGTCTAAAAAGTTAATTGCTGCCTGCAGTGCCTATTGTAAGAAGGACACCAGTTTGGATATTGGATGAAAAATCTTGAAACGCAACACGTGCAGTTGATTACATTCGGAAATACTTCTGTCACTGAGTCATAAACTGTGGTAAACACTTGGTAAACTGAGAAAATGAATATGTTAAAACTGCCTGCCTTGAGGAATAGATGTGAAAATTAAATTACACGAGTTGAAAAAATATTTTCAGGAACTCTGTTTTGAAGATATCGCATGTTAGAAGGTGTAGTCCGTTGGTCGTGACTGTCAGTCGTATGAGAGGTGCTTCTAGTTTTTCTTGATAACTACGAGAAGAATCTTCGGTTAGTCAGGCAGTCAAATCTGGTTGATGGGTGATGTGGTCGTTAAGTTAATGGTGAAGAAACATGACTGAAGGAGAGTGACATGATGAAAATGATGGTAGACGTGGTGGATGGTTGTTGCTCATCGTCCGAGACAAGCGTGGGGGTCTCAGATATTCTAGGTTTGAGGCAGTCATACACGATATATAAGTGAATATACATCACCTAGCACGGGTATTATCTTGAGCCTAATGTGAACAAGTACATAAATGATAAATATAAGAATATGTACCATTGGCGTAGCATTGATGCTTGCCACGCACAAGCTGAGGCAGAGCGTCAGGATCGTTGGAAGCGTCTTCCGAGTTGCCATTTGAAAAATCTTCAGAGTAACTGCCCGACAGAAGAATAAAACATGAAAAAAATGTCATTTTCGTTTGATAATTCAAACGAAACGTTTGATTTCAGACACTAGTGCAGGAATAAAGCTTGTGAGTAAAGTGTTATGTTTACTAAACTTCATACGGGCATAACATGAACTAATTTGCAGGAAATTATGTGCAAATATTTCAGAATTTGTGCGTTTTCAGCTCATCCGTGCATATATACGAAAATGGCGGAACGCTAACAAAATCTGAAATTTTATCATGAGGTATGAAATCACAAGGCATTGCAAAACTGATGATATACGGAACATTCGAAATTAATTTAGTGTGATATTATTCCAATTAAATTTAATTTCTTGCATATAAACTAGAATTAAATGCGACATGATAGTTACAATATAGACCGTATTTAAATGAGGGTTCATAAAGAGATTTCTTTCATTAATATGTTTTCAGTTAAATTAACTCATTGATCACGGATACATTTACAGTCGTCAATGCTATTCGTACCTAGTGGCATGGGATCGAGAAATCCCGTCAGTAACCAAAAGGAATGATAAGGACAAAGGAAGCTGGATTGCAGAAAAATATAATCAAATCTCGGGAAATTGCTATCCTGAATACACTGTCGCTCATTAATGTATAAGACATAGCTGAGCACACATCATAGGCTCATACAAAGATCTCTGTGTCGGATTAAATCCAGCAATAATATGAAATTATGAATAAATTTCACTGTTACTGACGAAATGATGCGGTATTGCAAAACGCCGTTGTGGAAAAGTTAAAATTATTAATCAATTATATTCATGACATATTAATTTGAATTTATCTGAAACTGGTTATTTAACTATCCTCGACATTTTCAGACAGGAGTTAAATGAGAGTTTGACGTAAAACTAGTAGGTTTTCCCGGCATGACACGGGATCGATAATTCCTGTAATTTTTAAATCTGAATCCTTCTAATACGGAAACAAAAAAATCAATGTATGTAAGTTGAAGAAAGATCCTGTTCGAACTCACATTTCACAAACAACAAAGGTCTCTTCACTTTATCTCCCGCAATTGAATGTGGAAAACAATTATACTGTCTAGTACATTAAATTATCTATAGCAAATAAAACATTGAAGTAGTATAGATAAGGGGTGTATCGTCGCACTTTCCATAAACAGCTTAAATCATAGGTTACCACAATCATTTACCTTAAATCTTGCCCAACAAAATTAACTAATTACCCCTGATCCTTCAATATTATTACGAAAAATTACCCCCGAATCTGCATAAACAGCTTAACAGGGTACTGATCGTGAATCTTGCCCAACAAAATTAACCAATTACTCCCGAATCATGAGTTAACGACCATTTACCCCGATTGAGTCATTCGAGTCATTTACCAGGCTGGAGTCATTTGAGTCAAATCAGCTTGAAACCTTGAGTCAGTTTTTTTCATGGTGCACATCGGCTGGTAGCTAAACGCGCTCTTAAATTATCCTCCACAAAAACTCGCTCCAGATCCAGGACCGGTCTGGCAGAGGTAAGATCATCGCGCTAATATCGAGAGTGAACATACTGTATTTGCCCTCGACCGCGAAGTTGATCTGTAATACATTAAGCTCTGAACTCCCGTCGAGTGAGGATATTTCAGAAG